TCTCACCAGTGCCAGGGTTTTCATAGGAGGCGGGCAATACCCCCACTTTGTGGGGGGGCCGGTTCAAGCTCTACCAAGTTTCCAAACGACTCTTCGCCACCACCCACACCCAGCTTCCCGCCCTATGACGTTCGGACACTTCACTTCGTGGCCTGCGGACGACCTTGGCTACTACACTGGCGCATGGGTACAGTGACTTGTTGTGGTAACATTTTGTGGAAGCTAACTTAGTATACGACTTTTCCCCCTGTTCCAACACTGGACACCTGTACCGTTCTCCGACGTTTTTCCGTTTCTGCACCACACAAGCGACGACACTTATTTTGAGTGGTACCACGTGCGTGGCGCCAGCATACCACAGGACTTGTTTCCGTTGTTGTGAGACGATACATGCTCATTCTTGTTCTGCGGTTGTCGTTCCGGCCTCAATGTGCAATACTGGCTCATTCGTCTACGAAATACACGTGACTCGCTCTCGTTGGTTGGAGGTCCTGATGGTTGTGGTTGTCCCGATGGTTGTCGCGATGATTGTCCCGATGATTGTCCCGATTGTTGTTCCGATGGTTCTCCCGATGGTTGTCCCGATGGTTGTCCCGATCGTTGTCCCGATGGTTGTCCCGATGGTTGCCCCGATGGTTGTCCTGATGGTTGCGGTTGTCCCGATCGTTGTCCCGATGGTTGTCCCCATGGTTGTCCCGATGGTCGTTCCGATGGTGGCCCCGACGGTTGCCCCGATGGTTGTCAGCGACGCCGGACCCTCACGCCCCCCGCCGGAGGAGGAGGAGGAGGAGGAGCAGGACAAGGCGCGGCGGCTCTGGACACATACGTGCTCTGGAGACATACTAAAGAGACGAGTCTTTGTGCTCATCATCTTCTGGCATACGCCTGTCTCTAATGGCACGCATCGGGCGCAATACTGCAAGCTGCGCTCCTGGCAGCAATACATCAGGGGCCAAGTGTCCAAGCATTGTGCCGATACGCCTCCTCGCGGATACATCGCCCGTGCGTGCGCGGGGCGCCAATACCGCCAGGACGCCCTGGACATGCGCCGGCATACCCAGATCCACCTGGCAATCGATGCCCAGATGGCGGATGGCAGAGCCGTGCTGCTCCTCCAGCTCCTTGGCGCTAGAAATACTGACCTTGCCAGGCACAACCCGATACTTGACCCACCAAACCTTGCACGCCTGGTGACTGACCTGGATACCCTTTGCAACGAGCGCCTGATGCAAATAAAACGGGCTGCCGCAGTCGGCCAAGGGAGGCCGCGACAGCTCTGGGCCATACTGCTCGTCAAGGGCTTTCGCCGACAAAGCCATGACCCATCCAAGAACACAGGCGATACCTTGATCCGAGATGGCTACGGATGTGACAGTGATCAGTGATTTTGTTCGATGACGTGGTGACACACTGACTTGTTGTGGTACCATGCCGACAACGACGACGCGACGACGCGCGCATGTGTCCCGCATGATATTTTTTGCAAGGGATTGTGGCCCCTGGCAGGCGCGCGAACGCCGTTGAAAGAGCTTGCGAAAACAGCTCGCGCGAGCTCTATAACATAAATGTTGAAAAACCATTGGTTTTTAAGGATTCGGACAGCGCGCGCGGGTAGAAATTTTGAAAATTCGTACAGATGTTTTTCGAGAACCTACGGTGCGATTCGTATGATTTTATGTTGCGCGGTGCTAAAATTCCTAAGAAACCCAATGATTTTTGAAGATTTCGGCGTGCGCGCGCGAAGAAAAAACGAATGTGTCCCACATGGTATTATTTGACAGGGATGATGGCCCTGGCAGGCGCGCAACCTTTGTTGCAGAAGTTCGAAGCACGTGAAAAAGTTGCTCGCAAGAGCCCGTTTGACAGAAATGTTGAAAAAGTATTGGGTTTCCTAAGAAATCCGCAAGAGCGCGCGGGGTGAATTTTTGAAACCCTTTTTTTGAAAAACCATTGGGTTTTTCATGTTTTTATGTGAAAATCGCTACGAAGACTAAGGTTTTGGAAGGATTTCGTCTTGCGCGCGCGAATGTGCACTTCGTGTCATTTTTTGCAAGGGATTCTTGAAGTTTGGTCATGTTAGAACAAGAAATGTCCACTTTGCCTTATTTTTTGCAAGGGAAAACCGATCGTAACAACACAACCGGATCTGGTATACCCCGTTTTGCCTGAGACTTCCTCACGAAAATGATGAAAATGTGGCTGCGGCCTAGGCGCGGCGGGGGGGGCGCGCACCAGGGGTCCCAACAATAATTATTCTTTAGAATTAATAATGTTCAACAACAACAACAACAACAACAACAACAACAACAACAACAACAACAATAACAGCAACAACACCCACAAACAAGAACAACACACACACAAAAAAAAAAAAAGCAGCAGCAGCAGCAGCAGCAGCAGCAGCAGCAGCAGCAGCAGCAACAACAACAACAACAACAACAACAACAATCATTTTACCCGAACGCTCAGTGTTCTCACCAGTGCCAGGGTTTTCATGCGACGCGAGACAGTACCCCCACTTCGTGGGGGGGCAGTTCAAGCTCTACCAAATATCCAAACGACTCTTCGCGACCACCCAAACCCAGCTTCCCGCCCTATGACGTTGGGACACTTCACTTCGTGGCGTGCGGACGACCGTGGCTACTACACTGGCGTGGGGTACACACCCACAGAACTTGGTCACTTATTCGGGGCGCGCGTGTGCCCAGCATCCTGCAATTGTGACATACAATACATGACACAGACAGACAGAGAGAGAGACAGAGAGCAGACAGAGAGAGAGACAGAGAGAGCGGAGTTGGTCACATTTTTGGGGCAAGTTCCTGAGATCGTCGTGTTTTTTGTTGGTCTTGCGCGCGCGAATGTCCACTTTACTTTTTTTTTGCAAGGGAATATTGATTATGTTAGAACAAGAAAAAGTAGCTCGCGCGAGCTCATGTAACATAAATGTTGAAAAACCATTGGTTTTGTGGGAGTCGGACAGCGCGCGCGGGATGAAATTTGGACATTTTTTTTTGAAAAACCATTGGGTTTTTGATGTTTTTATGTTGAAATCGTTACGAAACCTAAGGTTCTGGAAGGATTTCGTCTTGCGCGCGCGAATGTCCACTTTACCTTATTTTTTGCAAGGGATTATTGAAATTTGATTATGTTAGAACAAGAAAAAGTAGCTCGCGCGAGCTCATGTAACATAAATGTTGAAAAACCATTGGTTTTGTGGGATTCGGACAGCGCGCGCGGAAGGACATTTTGACAATTTTTTCTTAAAAAACCATTGGGTTTTTGATGTTTTTATGTTAAAATCGTTACGAAACCTAAGGTTTTGGAAGGATTTCGTCTTGCGCGCACGAATGTCCACTTTACCTTATTTTTTGCAAGGGATTCTTGCAATTTGATCAAGTAAGAACAAGAATTTTCATTTTATAGTGTTTTTTGCAAGGGAAAACGGAGTACAACAAAACAACCGGATCCGGTAATAATTCACTTTTCTGAAGCTTTCGCTAAAAAATGATGAAAATGTAGCTGCGGCCTAGGTTTTGGAGGGGGGTCGCGCACCAGGGGTCCCAACAATAATTATTCTTTAGAAGTAATAATGTTCAACAACAACAACAACAACAACAACAACAACAACGCAACGCAACGCAACGCAACAAGCATAATCCGCACCACGGATCCCCACTCCAGCCACGCACCCAGGGGCAATGAATGACCGTTCGGCCCCCTCACTCTGACAAAACGACTACTCCAGATTTTGTAATAAAAGGGAGGGGGTCTGGACCCTCCAAGACAAGCCATTTCAGACCTCCCCCGTGGGAGAACCCTCCAAAACATCCCCCCAGGCCCGCCAAGATGGCCTGGAAGAGACCCCCCCCGAAATGAGACCCCCCTCCCTTTATTACGAAATCTGGAGTACTTAAGCACAACTTGTCCTCGGACGCCACGGTGTGAAGGCACTCACGGGTGCAAATCCAACGGGCCAAGATAACGAAGTAATAAAGCTATCAAAAGCTTCGCCCAGGGCCTAGCGAGCAACTCCAAAGGAGAAGTGGACCACACACACACACACACTTGTTTGTGGCGGTAGCGGCCTCGCGCGCAGCGACGAGGCGGAGAAAGTGAGACAGTGCGCGCGGCAGCCTGGTCCTCAGCATCGCTTACGATGTGGTCCTGCCGACATCTGCCATGTGGGCGTGGATAGCAGGGAGGGTACCCGCAATACCACTGGAGATGCCCCAACGGCAGCATGAGGCAAGGAGACCGGCATCAGCCACTCCGGGCGTGGACAGCGGGGAGGGTACGCGCAATACTGTTGGGCGGCCCGCACGGCAATATGAGAAGAGGAGGACGGCAACGCCCAGCAACCGTGGAAGCGGCGAGGCGCAGAACCGAGGGTCAAACCCCAGCGGCCGGCGAAAGAAAGCACGTAAAGAAGGCTCGGCAGAGCCGAGCACGGTGCTGTGCGCACCAAGGGCGATGGCACCGGCACAGGCCCGACGGCAGGAGGGCGGCGAGGCAAGGCCCAACGCCGAGGCTGCCGCCCCCGTCCTCCGGCGAGGCGGGAAACACACAGACATACACACACACACACACACACACATTCTCACACACACACACACACACGCTCTCATACACACACACACAAACTCTCATACACACACACACACACACACACACACACACACACACACACACACGCGCGCGCGCGCGCACGCGCACACACACACACAAGCACACACACACACACGCATACACACACACACACACACACACACACCGCACACACACGCAAACGCATACACACGCACACACACACACACACACACACTCTCTCTCACACAGACGTACACGAATGCAAACGCAAGCGCACATGCGGCGATGACACACGCGCTCACGCAAACAAGAGTACCAGAACGAATGCAATAGCAGCACAAGCGCTGGCGAAAAAGCACGAAAGCATCTACGAAAGACGACACGAGCGCTGTTGCAGAGGCGGGGAGGTCATTGATCAGCTGGATGTCGTGCTTCATGGCCTGGGGCGGTCGGGCCGAGTCATGCGTGGAGAGGGAGCCCTGGCCAAGCAGGATGCTTTCTATGCCCCTGGGGCAGGCCAGGGTACCAGTCAGAGGCCTGCCTGGCACCATCGGGCGTGCCCGAAACGGGTATGGAAAAAATGGTCACGATGTCCAAACAGCAAATGTTGTCCAAGACCGACAGCGGCCGCTATTGGGCAGGCGGCCCTTTGCCTCAAATGGACAAGATCCGTGGCAACACCAGCAGCGAGTTCTGTTCAAAGCGGACAGGAGATGCTGCTGGTTTCCTTCCACAGTCTCTCCGTACCCATTTCCTTCGTGCCAACCCATGGCCTACGTACCGAACTGCTGCCCCCCCCCACAGGCCCGACCTGGAGAAGAAATCTGGCGCAGAAGGGAAGACGGAAGGGAGCGTGACAAACGCACACACATCAGAACGAGGGGGCAGAGCGGTGTTGCATCGCCCCTGGGCTCTTGGCTGACGCCAGGCTCCGCAGCACGGCTGCTGCAGTCGTCGTTACCGCCGCCGTCGGGGCCCCCACGACTCGCCTCGCTAGGCCCGCCTCGCGACACGCTCTCCGACGAACCGACCACACGCCACCCGACCCACCACGACTCGCGCCCACAGCGGCCCATGCCCGCCCGGGCCCGGGCCCGCCACACGACCCGCCGCTTGACGTAGCCAGTGACCCATTGGTGACCAGCTGGCGACCTGCCGACGACATGCCCGTGGACCTCGCCCCCCCGCCTGCTCGCCCCTTGACCCGCCAGCGACCTGCCCACGCATTCGGTGAGGAGGCCAACGGCGGACAACCGAACACTGGCAGCTCGGGCAGCGGGGAGCGCGCTGCAGCGGGGGGGGAGAGGAGGGAGAGAAGGGAGGGGAGCAAGGGGGAGGGGAGGGAGGAGTGAGAAGTGCGGAGTGAAGAGCGATGAGTGCAGAGGCAGGAGGACAGGACAGGGCAGGATGAGCTTAATTGCGCACAGCATCGAGACCAGGCTTTCAAGACAGGATCGAATGTAAACACTGGAAGAAAGAGGGGCCCTCTCCGGCACTTCACTACAGCGGGAGCACGATAGGACGAATCAAGCAAGTCGCGCGCGAATCCCGGTAGCCCTCTGGGCGTGCGCGCTTTCAGGGTAACAGCTCGTCCAGAATAGTCCTGCCGCCCCTTTGTAGGAGGGATCTATTTGTCTGACTGCCCACACTGCAACAGGTTGACAGCCTCCCGTGGTGGCCGCCCCTGGACGAGACACGGAGGAGCATCCTGCCGGACATGTGCCCCGACTCTGAGGGTCCAGGGGGGTCTATCGAGACTCTTTCGAAGCCCCTGTGGGATGCTCTTAGACCATCTGTGACACCCAGAACGGCTTCCACTCGGGCTGCAGAACCACAGAAGCACTACTCATCGCAAGGTGCTTGCATGAGGACACGTGGGATTCCGAGTCGGGCAAACGGACTCCCCTCGCGCTCGACTCGGCGAAGGCATTCGACACCGTGTCGTCCGATGGCCCGATGCAGGCGCCTGTCCGTTTCAGTACGCAGGAGCAGCTTGCCACGGCGGGTCAGAACATTTACCAGAACCACCACATGCACGGCGCGGGTCACGTGTCCGACCCAAAGCCAAAGCGATTTCGAGAGAGTTCCCGAGGATGCCCGCCGAAGAAGATGGTGTATGTGAAGCACCCTACCTCTGGAGTAGCTCCACCTGATAGTACGTTAACCTCGATCCACTCGTTCCTCTCGAGGAGGTGCGTGGTCAGCTCGAGGGTGCAGTCTGGTGTCCATGTCGGTGCCCAAGACCACCAGCGCCATCTCCACGGCCGCCGTCAGCTTGGCCGATCGTGATGGCCCTGCCGATGCACGGCGCGACGCGCGGCATGCAGCACCGAAGCGCTCGTCAAGATGCCCCGGCTGCACCTGAGCCACCTTTGTCCGTGCCGACGTCTCGGCACGGGCAAACTACAGGTGGAGCCAGATTCGACACTGGACAGAGCACCTTCGCCCTGACGGTCCACCGATCACCCAGAAGGTCCGCACGGTGTACGCGGGGGGCGCCCTCACGCGGCCGGCGGGAGCGGAGCGGAAAGGAACCCGCGGGTCGGCACGGCGCGACAGCGATTTGCTTGGTGATGCGGGGTGTGGAAGCACAGACAGACAAGTGCAGTGCGTTCTCCTCGGAGGCGTGCGTCCGACCCGACCACACAGCACAGATATCCTGTAGTAGATCGTTTCCCGAGCGGTATGAGCTGAAAGCGCCCACAACGAAGTTTACACTCTGAGATTTCCCGGCGCGCGCGTCGCCCCCGAGGGGCGACGTACACGTGACGACTTGCTTGCCGACGAAGGTCATGGTTCTGTGAAGCCTGTGGTATAGCTGTACCGATGAATTGTGTTTGTTTGCTTGAACCGAGCAGAGAGAGGTCGCAACTGGACGCCCTCCGAGCACGACGCTCAAGCGGGATTGCAGGCATCCCGCACTCCTATGTCGGCTAGATGCCGAACGCGGTCGCGCTGGAGAAGTGCGGCACGAGGAGCTCGGCTTCTGCTGTAGCTTACCATAAAACTCGAGCCGATTGGAACGATTGCCAGCCTCCCAAATGACAGTGTGTTACGGAGAAAGGTCGTCGAGCCGGGGTCGCGTGTCCTGACCCGCCCTTTAGGACCTCGACAACGAAGCTTGCCGAGGAGTTCGTGGAAACGCAACCTGCTCGATGTGGCGTGTGCGGCGGGTGGCGGCCGAAACGCCTTGCAGGCTATCTGGCTACATGGAGCAGGTGACTGGCGCGAAGTCACGCGGCAGCACTGCTGACAATTATAGCCACAGCAATCGACGAAGGACGGGAACCTCGAGATACTCAATGAAGTCGGGCCAGGCAATGCTGTCACCGAGCCGCTCCCGCGAAGGCTCACGATGCGAGTCCTCAGGGCGTCTCCACCTCGGAACATACAGGCCTTTTCTCTCGTCCTCCCCCTACTCCATTCCTTTCCTTCAAAATCAGCTTCACAGGATGGAGGGCTGGTCGTTGCCAAAATGTGGCTCGCGCCTTAGCGCGGCGCACAATCGTGAAAGTTTGCAAGAGTTTCACGGATTGAAGGCGGGTCGTTTTCAAAATGTGACTCTCGCCGTAGCGCGGCGCACATTCGTTGTAAAAATTGGCAAGAGCTTCACGGGTTGAGGGCGGGTGGTTTTCAATATGCGGCGTTCGCCTAAGCGCTGCGCACATTCGTTTTTGATATTTTGCCAAATTTTCACGAATTGAGGGCGAGTCGTTTTCAAAGTGTGGCTCTCGCCTTAGCGTCGCGCATATGTGTTTCAATAAAGTGCAAAATGTTCACGGATTGAGGGAAAGTGGTTTTCAAAATGTGGCCCTCACCTTAGCGCCGCGCACATTCGTTTGAAAAAAATGCCAGAGCTTCACGGAATGAGAGCGGTTCCTTTTCAAAATGTGATTCTCGCTCTAGCGCGGCGCACATTCGTTGTAAACATTTGCAAGAGTCCCACGGGCTCTCATCATCAACGTGCCAGAAATGGCGTTTTGGAAAGATTCAGGCATATGCGGGTGCAACAATTACGTGGGTTCTCTGTGTTGAAGTCCTAGGAATGGCGTTCTGGCACGATTCAGGATCGTCAAGACGCAATAGTCAGGTTGATCCGTGGCGTTGGAATCCCGAGGACAATGTTTTTGCATGCTTCAGGGTCTTCAAACGTGTCTTCCAACGAGGCAGTTCCATCAATGGAAATGAGCAGTTGTAGGGGCTGATGAAGAAGGAGCTTGGAAGGGAGGGTTTACTCTAACATCGTTGATGACTCTTGGATTTACACTGGTCCTCCTCCTCCTCCTGCTCCTCCTCCTCATTCTCATCCTCCTCATCCTCCTTCTCTGCCTGGCAATTCATCGCTTCACGGCAGTGCCACTGACAGTAGCAGCCACTCCACCATTTTGCTAATGCACCTCTTACGTGCAGGGCACATCCTTACGTTTCTCCCTCTCTCTCTCTCTCTCTTTTTCTCTATCTCTCTCTCTCTCTCTCTCGCTCTTCCTCTCGCCCTGTCTCTGCATCTCTCCATCTCTATCTCTCTCTCTCTCTCTCTCTCTCTCTCTCTATATATATATATATATATATATAGTATATTTCTCTCTCTTCCTCTCTCTCTCTCTCTCTCTTTCCCTCCCTTTAGGGCGCTCTTGTGGCCCTGTTGGAGCCCTGATGCAGCTCTTGGAAACGGCTGGTGCCTTTGAGGCCCTCTCGAGGCTGCCTGGGGCACACTGGAATCCGTGCTGGGCCGTGCCTCTGACTTGAAGGTTTCGGGTCTTCAGGGTGGCGTTGGGAGCTCTCTCGCGGGGCGGACTCTGAGACCGTCTTCGGGCTCCGCTGGGCCCCTTTGGGGGCCCTTTGACGTCCATCGCGAGGCCGTGTTGATGCCTATCAAAAGCCGGGGAAGCAAGAAGATGACAGTCAAAAATTAGCCTGGCGAAGGACCCAACCATATGCAGTTGTGAGCACCGCAGTTGTGAGCATCATCTTCGGTGGAGCTCCCTATGGGGCCACGAAACGTGTGAGGGGTGTGCCGAAATAGGTGTGGCGGGCGCATGTGGACGGTGCTACTGGGGCATTCGGTGGAGCTTCCTATGGGGCCACAAAACATATGATGGGTTTGCCGGAATCGGTGCGGCGGACGCATGTGGACTGTGCCACTGGGGCCTTGGGTGGAGGTTCCTATGGGGCCACGAAACGTGTGAGGGGTGTGCCGGAATGGGTGTGGCGGACGCATGTGGACGGTGCCACTACGGCTTTGGATGTAGCTCCCTACGGGGGCACGAAACGTGTGAGGGGTGTGCCGAAATGGGTATGGCGGGCGCATGTGGACGGTGCCGTTGGTGCCTTCGGTGGAGCTCCACATGGGGCCACGGAACATGTGAGATGCGTCCCGACAGTGGTTTGGCGGACGCATGTGGACGGTGCCACTGGGGCCTTCGGTGGAGTTCCCTCCTATGGGGCCACGAAGAGTGTGACTGGTGTGCCGAAATGGGCGTGGCGGACGCATGTGGACGGTGCCTCTGAGGCTTTCGGTGGAGCAACCTATGGGGCCACGAAACATGTGAGGGGTGTGCCGAAATGGGCGGTGTGGCGGACGCATGTGGACTGTGCCACTGGGGCCTCGGGTAGAGGTTCCTATGGGGCCACGAAACGTGTGAGGGGCGTGCCGAAATTGGTATGGCGGCCGCATGTGGACGGTGCCACTGGGGCCTTCGGTGCAGCTCCCTATGGGGCCACGAAGCGTGGAGGGGTGTGCCGAAATCGATGTGGCGGACGCATGCGAACGGTGCCTCTGAGGCCTTCGGTGTAGCTCCCTACGGGGCCACGACACGTATGAGAAATGTGCCGAAATAGGTGTGGCGGACGCATGTGGACGGTGCTACTGGGGCATTCGGTGGAGCTTCCTCTGGGGCCACGAAACGTGTGAGGGGTGTGCCGAAGTGGGTGTGGCGGACGAATGTGGACGGTGCCACTGGGGCATTCGGTGGAGCTTCCTATGGGGCCACAAAATGTGCGAGGGGCGTGCCGAAATGGGTATGGCGGCCGCATGTGGACGGTGCCACTGGGGCCTTGGGTAGAGGTTACTATGGGGCCACGAAACGTGTGAGGGGTGTGCCGACATGGGTATGGCGGACGCATGTGGACGGTGGCACGAGGGCCTTCGAGTGAGGGGTATGCCGACATGGGTGTGGCGGACGCATGTGGACATTGCCACTGGGGCTATGGGTGGAGCTCCTTGTTGGGCCACGAAACGTGTGAGGGGTGTGCCGAAGTGGTGGACATGCGCATAGCAGAGGTAGGGATGGGAGGAGGGAGGGGGCAGCGGGAGTGAGTCAGGTGACGCGGGCCGATGTCTCTCAAAACGAGGACCCAACACCACAGGATGGTTGGGAACAAACGCATTGTGTCTGAATGGAAGAATTAGAATGTCTCTGGGAGGCCCCTGGGACATCTCAGAGCGACGTTAGGGCCTTCTAGGGACCTATTGAAGCCATGCTGGAGGCCGTCTTGAGCTGGCATGGCTCATCTTGGAGGCACGGCTTGCATTGTCCTAGCGTGACTGGCAGTGCCCCGGCGAAGACGGGACAAGTGTGAACGCACTGATGCCACGATTTGTCGCTGGCAGCGACCCGCCCACTGGAGTACGAGGAGTCCTCCCCAGTGACTTGCCGCACCCCCTGAGGAACCCTGCAAAGACCCCTGCTGTACACTGACGACCTTGCAATACCCTGCCTCCCCACGCAATCCAGACCCCCAGACACCATGCAAACCCTTGTAGCTAGAACTTTGCGAATAGTGGAACGCGCTCGGTGAGTAGAGCAGCGCTGCAAGACCCTGCCCCACATGACATCTCGAGCGTGAGAACCGGACGCGCGAGAGGGCGAGTGAGTTCAAACCAAGACATTGCCAGGGAAGAGAGGAGAGCAGCAAAGTCGTGTTCGGAACGAGTAACTGTAGAGGGGAGAGGAAGAGAGAGAAGAAAGGAAGAGAGGAGGAGATGTGGACGAGGAGAGAATAGGCTCTAATAAAAAATCATAACGGCATGAAGAAGCAAGGTTGACCAAAGGGAAAAATTCGAGAAAGGGGGATACTCGATGATGGGATGAGGGGACTCAGCAGCAGTAGGAGCAAGGGGGCGACGGTACCGAGAAACGGACCCTGGTCTCCCCACTTCTGCACCCGCAGACGGAAGGCCTGCCGGGACCTAATGAGGAACATATTCTGCAGGGCGGGAAAAATCAGCTGAATATTTCCCAAAGCCCATGACAGTCTCGGGAGCAAGAGCGCAGAAGGAGGGAACCTTCGCAGACTGCAAGCCAGAACACTCGCGCACGCATCCTCGCAATCATCAACCATAGAACATCATCACCGTCGTCATTATGGTCACCATCGACATGGCCGTCATCATCACAGCCATCACTGGTCGCCACAGGATGCAAACTGTGTGAAACTCACTCGCGAGCATGAGAGGCACAAAGAATGCTCAACATCAGACAACCAGTTCCGCCGCAGGCCGAATCGAAGGTTGCGCACCTGAATATCCACCTTCGCCTCGGCTCCGATGGAGCCCGCCGCCAGCGCGGCGCAAAGGAATCCACGCCTGTTGCGGGGAAGCATATGGATACAGCTTCAGTGGCAATGTCAGATGCGCCCTGCTTGGTATCTTGCTGACCCATGCGCGCAGTGGGGAAGAGAGCTGTGTAGTCCTCGTCAGGCGCCCGCCCAAAGTGATGTGGCTGGGGCATTCGTATGGGCAGCGCCTGGGCAAGAAGCCTCTCGACACAGATCTGGCCAAGGCGATCCCAGGATACTGCCATCTGGTATGACACGGGCGCCCTGGGCTATCCTAGGGCCTACTCTTACCTTATGCTGGGTTTGAGGTAGCCCAGGGTAAGTTCTGACACGATGTTCGCAGTAGCACGGGGCAGTCTGGAAGATGATTGACGAACAATCCGTTTTCCCATCGGGCGGGAGGGAGGGGGACGGAACGGTGGGAATGGGAACATAATGAGGAGGAGGTGGAACATAAACAGAAGGGCGAAAATGACAGCAGAATGGTGTCTCTTCCTCCTCCTCCCCCCTTCCTCCTCCATGCCCCTCCCCGCCCAGGCGGAGAAAGAGACCCGAAGGACAGCAAGGGCCGACATCGCTACCCGACCCGAGGGCAGCGAAGCCAAAACATCGGAGCCCATCGCGCTTGACGCCCGCTCGCCTGGCAGGAGCCATGGCGGCCGAAGTTCCCTTGCACCGGCGAGAAGAAAGGGGTGCTGACTGCAAAATCTGCGGCGCAGGCTTCGGAGTGGCGATGCAGTGGCGAGAGGAGGTGCAGGTGCTGCCACGGCCAGGCAGGCGAGCGGGCACAAGCGGCTTTACAGCAGCACGGGCCAGGGCGCCGTCGGCACGGGGCACGCTCTGTGGGACGCTGGCCAAACGCGAAAGTGTAACCATGAAGCGAAAGCACTGCCAGGGAAACGAGACAGGACGCATTCCCACTGTCTCCGACGAGGGAATCGAGCTGCAAGGCGTGCCCAAACCATACGCTTGCCCTGAAAACATTTCCTGCATCGTCTGCAAACTACACCTGGAAGGAGGAGTAAGTAATCCTGTACGCACATCCTCGCATCGTACGTATGTGTATGTAAAACATAACCGTGACATGTAGCACTTCGACGACGTACGAATCCGGATATGCAGACAAGAATAAAGCCTCGCAATCAAAAGCTGCAGAACACGTTCGAAAAAATCAAAGTAAGGCCACGATGCTACAACCGAACCCCAAACTATTGTTTCCGAACCAACCTGTGGTGTTGGGCACTCGTTTTGAAGAGACGGTCCCCGCGTCTCCTCCCGCTGCCCACCTCCCTCCCCCCCCTCCCCCCTCATCCCTCCTACCTCCTCCTTCCGCTTCACCGACCCAGTACAGCGCTTCGTGGACCCATAGGGAGCTCCACCTAAGGCCCCAGTGGGGGTTGGCCACACATACGTCCGCCACACCCAGTACAGCGTTTCGTGGCCCCATACGGAGCTCCACCCAAGGCCCCAGTGGGGGTGGCCACATGCGTCCGCCACACCCAGTACATCGCTTCGTGGCCCCATAGGGAGCTCCACCTAAGGCGCCAGTGGGGGTGGCCACCTACGTCCACCACACCCAGTACAGCGCTTCGTGGTCCCATGGGAAGATCCACCCAAGGCCCCAGTGGGGGTGGCCACATGCGTCCGCCACACCCAGTACAGCGCTTCGTGGTCCCATAGGGAGCTCCCACTAAGGCCCCCGTGGGGGTGGCCACATGCGTCCGCCACACCCAGTACAGCGTTCCGTGGCCCCATAGGGAGACCCACCCAATGCCCCAGCGGGGATGACCACATGCGTCTGCCACCCCCAGTACAGCGCTTCGTGGCCCCATACGGAGCTCCACCCAAGGCCCCAGTGGGGATGGCCACATGCGTCCGCCACACCCAGCACATCGCTTCGGGGCCCCATAGGGAGCTCCACCTAAAGCGCCAGTGGGGGTGGCCAAATGCGTCTGCCACGCCCAGCACAGCGTTTCGTGGCCCCATAGGGAGCTCCACCGAAGGCCCCACTGGGGTTGTCCGCATGCGTCCGCCACACCCAGTACAGTGTGTGGCCCCATAGGGAGTTCCACCTGCGGTCCCAGTGGGGGTGCCCGCATGCGTCCGCCACACCCAGTACGCCCCTCACACGCGTCGTGGTCCATCAGGCCCCCGCCACGCCCAGTATTCACAGCCATAGACATTTACACTAGGCGTATCCATGCTGGCATTCATGCACATAGACTTACTCGCACGCAGACTTAATCACAATCAGACGCGCCCGCGCTCAGCCTCACACGCGCTCAGTCCCCCGTGCCCAGGCCTATCGTTTCCGTTCGTGTTGTGTACCCAGCCACACATGTCGGCACTCCCCTCGCACGGTTCATGACCCCATAGGGATCGCCACCGAAGAAGATATTCACAATTGCAGTAGTTACAACTGCATATGGTTGGGTCCTTCGCTAGGATAATTTCGAAATCGACTGCCAGGCCATGCCACGACGCAAGAAGCCATGTTAATGCCTCTGATCACACGTTGTGCTGCTGCGTTGGCACAACCACGAAATACGATGCTCAGGTGCCAGATAGATCATCCGGTGGCCTTGCTCCCTAAACAGCTTATGTGTGAAGGTCCGATATTTTTCACCACATCCTGTATGGGGTTGTTGCTACCCACACCCTATGTAAAATGATTCCCCCCCCTCCTAAGTGGCGGTTGTGTCTACTCTGGACCCCCCCCAAAGCAGGAAGGAATCTGAAGCATCAGCATCATCATCATCATCATCATCATCATCATCATCATCACCATCATCATCATCAGCATCTATCAGCATTAGCAGCACTATCATAATCACAATCCGAATCATCCTACTCATGCCCACGCGAACACATCAGAATCACCATGGCGATCAACCTTACCCTAATCTCCGTCATACTCATCCTGATAACCGTCCCCGTCAGCATCACATCTTTCATCGTCATCATCATCAAAATCACCATGATCATCATTAGCGTCATCGTCAACATCATCAGCATCATCATCATCATCATCATCATCATCATCATCATCATCATCATCGTCACCACCAAGCCCAGACCCTCACCACGCAGACACGCACATTCACTCACTCACTGATTCACTCATTCACACAGACACACACGCACACATGCAGGAGGCATCAAACGTGAGCCATGTCCGCGAGTGAATCGCGAGGAAATCTCAAGCGCGAGCCGCCTTCCCCATGGAGCCCGCACTTTTGTAATCCGAAGCAGCCATCGGGCTAGCCTTCCAAAACAAAAGTTTTAGTAACATCCGGGGGGCCTGAATCCAGAAAAAAAATCTCGGGCGGGAGCCTCGCTACAGAGATAATCCACCAGCCCCCTGGGCGCGAGTGGTTTACAGCACTTCCTTTTCCAAACAACCGTTTTCCCTTTCCTTGCCCATCCACCTACCCTTACCCGTGGGTCTGGACGGGGGGCGGCGGATTTTCAACCGACCGAAACTGGATGCCGGCGGTAAACCGTCAACCAGGTTACGGCCAGGGATCTCGTAGAGTTTCGTAGACACATAACAGCGCTGTCGATGCGGAAAGGAAGCTCCTTGGAGTACCAGCTTGGAAACTAGAGGAAAACATTGGTGGGGGTTCCAAAGGAAAATCTGTTGTATAATATTTTCCATATTTTGGAGCTAAAGATTACTATGTTGTAAACGAACGAGACAAGGACTTCTCCAATTGCAGAAAAAGTTGGTTTCAATCGGATCGCCACCTTGCTCTAGGAATCTGTATTTTTCTTCAAAAACTTGCATGTTTGAGATCGACCTCTGAATGTGGATCGATAGAAATATTGCAGCTAAAGCCTTAAGAGTTTCACCGGCAAACGCCGTGCAAGTAAATACTCACTAGAAGAATCTTGCATTTCAAATCAATTCTCTAGTCTCTGGAAACCTTGGAAAACAAAAAGAATCTTCACGTTTCATTGCAATTCCAAGTCGGCTCTTCTATGTCTTTCGATAGTAATATTTCAGGTACAGACCTGCAAAATTTCACAGACAGACGCAGAGCTCCCTATACACATGAAATAGCTGTCAATGCAGACAGTAAGTTTCTGGAACATCAGCTTGAACACTAGAAACATCATTGTTTCGGGTTCTAGCGACAGTCGTTTGCACAAACACTTTCAAGTACAGCAGCTACAGACCTGATAATTCCAAGCGAACAGCAGCGGAACTTATCCAGGTGCGAAGAAACTTCATGGCCACACGACTCGCCAAATTCCTGAAAATGTTCGAAACCATCGTTGGGTTCTTCGACCAACAACTTCTATTATCAATACTCGTCACTGGTAGTATATCGAAGGAAATGCTGCAGATACAGACCTGAAACGTTTACCTACAAACGCAGCGTGATCCAATCTTGCGTAGAATAATGTTCGATTCAAAAAGGATTCCTCGCATTTCTCATATCTAACAAGGTCGGTCTGCTAGCAGAGCTGGATCCAAACAAGTATTCGCATTCTGCGACTTTGATTACGAAGTTATATGAGTCTTCTCTACCTTAATCGAGCTGTCAACCGGCTACGGAGCTGGGGAGCACTTTCATAAATGCCTCGGCTATGGCGGCGCGTGCACCAACACAGGGCGAACACGACGGGTGCGCCGCCGGCTGCTCGGAAGGAGGCCCGCGCTCCCGCGGGGCCGACGACGCGCGGGGGGAAGGCGGCCTCGGCCATCAAGTGCTGACGACGCGCGGGGGGAAGGATGGCTGTGCCGAAGAGCGTAAGGAAAACCATCACCATCTCTTAAAAAATTATCAGAGTACGAACAGTTTTTCGGTCCCAGCGCTGATATTAGACCGAGTTCAGGCGTCTGGATACTTTAAACTAGCGCGCCTGATTATTTCCGTTCGATTGCTGTGCCGAACAGCTCTGTAGCTCACTTGCAGCTCGAGTCAAATCATGAAAACCAATACCATCTCCAGAGAATTAGCAGAGTACGAATAGCTGTTCAGCCCGAGCGCGTGATAGCAGACCGAGATCAGGCGTCTAGATACTTTGAACTAGCGCCCCTGATGATTCCCTTCCGATTGCTGTGCAGAACAGCTCTGTAGCTCATCAGCAGCGCGAGTTAAGTCAAGAAAACCAATCTCCAAGAAATTAGCAGAGTACGAATAGTTTTTCAGCCCGAGCGCTGCTATCAGACTGATTTCAAGCGTCTAGATACTTTGAACTGGCGCGCCTGACGATTTCCCTCCGATTGCTGCGCCGAAGAGCTCTGCAGCTCCTCTGCAGTTCGAGTTAAGTTAAGAACACCAATTCCATCACCAAAAAAAATGCAGAGTACGAACAGTTGTTCGGCTTCTGCGCTGATAGCAGACCGAATTCAGGCGTCTAGATACTTCAGACTATCGCACCTGATGGTTTCCTTCCGATTGCTGTGCAAAAAGCTCTCTAGCTCATCTGCAGCTCGAGTTAAGTGAAGAAACGCAAAATCATCTCGAAAAAAAATCGGTGGAGTACAAATAGTTGTGCGGACCTAGCTCTGGTAGGAGACCGAGTTCTGACCTCTAGATGCTGGAGACGAACGCGCCTGATGATTCAGGATCGATTAGGTGTGTATACCAGCTCTGTAGCGGTCCTACAGCTCGAGTTAAAGTTTAGAAAACTGACAGATCGGTCAAGATGACCCGAACAGCCGATCCCGCCCACATGCTTTTTGGCAGTAATAGGTACC